GTCCATATAAGGAGACCAAATTCCCATCCCTCTACCAATGTGGAATTCTTAACAAACACTATGACCTTTTTGTTATTGCTAGGATTTAGCTCTGCATCATGAGCTGCTGTGAATTTGATGTGTTTTTATAATCATGATCCAAGTAGTGGTTGTGCTCATTATACATGACTTATGTGAAGTTGAATGGTAGAGTACGACACATAACTAACAAGGGATTGAAAATTGAAAAAGGAGACATCAAATATGTGAGATCAAAATGCTTAGAGGATTTATATTTGAATCAGTGCCCACTTTATTTATAAAAAAAAGAATTAAATTGATGTCCATAACTAAATTGAAAAAGGAGACATCAAAAAGGTCATTTTGCAAAAGTGAAGGACTTTTAAGGTAGTATCTTTTATATATTTGTAGTACTTTCTGGCTTTCTAGTTGGTAATCATTCAGAACTTGCTACAGCAACATGACCTTTTTTTTCCATTTAATATTGAGAGTGCCAATCTTTTTTTTATTTTTTGATTTCCATATTTGGATTACCAATCCTTTGACGATTTTAGGTACTCACATTGGAAAGTCTCTTGAGCATCTTCTTAAAATATAAAGAATGAGGCTCTGGTCCAGTACTGAAATTCTTTGAAATTTGTGTTCTGTGATGTTCTTGCAGAGTATGTCAAGAGGAAAAGGAGGAAGAGTTGATCGATCTTGGATGCCACTGTCGCGGTGGATTGGCAAAAGCACATCGGACATGCATAGATACATGGTTTAGTACTAGAGGTTCAAATAAATGTGAAATATGCCAGTAAGTGGTAAACTTAAGTGCATTTTAATCTTGTTTTTCCCTATCAGACAGTATAGTGATGTAGGTTTGCCATTTTATGCAGGCAAGTAGCTGTAAATGTGGCATCTCCAGAGGCTCATGCACCTGTAAGTATCTATCTTTGTTTGGATAGCAATGGTTTTGGATGTGCTGAACACTGGATCTCTTTAAACATTAGTAATGCATGCTTTTCGCTCTCTTTTTGAAGTTATTGCTGGGTGCTTCAGCCATCATGCTAGACTGGTATTTTTTAAGCATGAATATCCTTCTGGCCTTTCAGCTTATAGGTTTTTGAAATTGAGCATTTGACTGCACCTGCCTCTCTTAGATGGTTTTGTAGTTGGCTAGTGTTATTTTGTCTGTTGTCCTTTTTTTGATGAGGCAGTGTGCCTTTTTTACAGCTTGTTGCCTTTCTTTCTTTGTCTGCTTCTTCTCCCTTTTCCTTGTATGTCATTTGTTTTGTATTATTCCCTGTCTTGGTCCAGAGATATGATCTGCTTCGTCATTAGAAAAAAAATCAGTTCTGGATTCCAGTGATTTGGTCTCCTCATTGTGCATGAAGTTGTCTTGTATACAGTCGTCAGGTAATTAAGCTTCACATTTTGTTCCTCATATTGCTCAACAGACTTCTCAGTAGTTGGATCACACCTAAGGTCCACAACCAACTATATAGGCTCTTGGTTTTTCAGTTCTGAAGCAAGACTGGTGGATAGATTCATATTATTGAAATCATCCTGAATTTTGTGTTGTTGACCAGTGCCTTCAATATCAGATTGCTAAGTGTTCACTAAGTTATTTTCACTATTATCAGACTTTCCAGAGATCGCATGCCTAGAGTTGCTTCCTGATCTTTCTTGCTATACTCTTTGTTCTTCATTTTTCCTTGTTCTGTTGTGTCCTTACCTTAGCAGTTCTG